GCGCACTTGGAGGTTCCTTCCTGTATAATTCCCCTCAAGTGGATAGAACATAGGGTTTAGGGTTGAGGCTCATAGTCCTCCTTAAGATAGGACATGGGTTATATGGGAATCTGATGATCATATACCCGAAGCCATATTCGATCTACTTGAGGGGGGCTCTAGAGTTTAGCCACCCCGGAGCATGATTATGGCTCAGTTGTCGCAACTGCGGTCGTCGTATTTGGTAGTTTCCCTACAAAAGGGAACCCAATATAGACCCCAATATACTATAGTCCTTATTATAGGGGCCCCCAAAAAAGATACCCCTAATTTTGGGAAACCCCTATTTGTATGCGAGCAGACGAAAATGTCTCACAACGGTCCAGGTGCTCTATGCTGTGGAATACCTCTTCCGGAAAGAGGGCATGGGGAAGGACCGCATCATGACCCTATCAAAGGCTTTAAGTTTGTACGCTTAATGCTTGTGACCCTAGGTTTTGGGCCCAAAGACCCTTTTTAATGGCCTAGGGACCCAAACAGCGTACGAACCCTAAGGGTACACAGGAAAAGTCCCTGACCCTAGCTAGCTTCCACAGGCTCACCAGAAACTCATGTTTCACAGCATCCTCCATCACTTCATGCTTAACAGGATCAACATGTCCCCTCAACGTTTCTTGTAGATTTGGTATAGGGGTGTCCCAAAATCAGAGGTACAATTTCTGGGGGCTCCTTTTACAAGAATTCTAGTATTTTGAGGGTCTATACTAGAGTTCACCTATTTTGGGACACTACCATTACTAGTGTCCAAGCTACTGCAAAATGCTCAGGAGGTGGCTGTGAGCGTCTTTCATCAGGCGCGCAGCCTCATCTTCCACCTCACGGAGGCTCTCCGACCTGCAAAAAAATGGCAGTGCTGGTCAAGAGGCGACGTGAGTAGTACTTAATTTGGGGATACTATGGTACCCAATGTGGAGTAAGATTATATCCTCCTTTTAAATATAGTATTTTTTATAAGGAATATTATCTTACTAGGTTCAACCACCAAGCTATAGTCTAAACTCCTTAAAGGGCGGTTATATAGGAGATTTTATAGAGGACTACTATAGGAGTTATTAAGGGGGATACTAGGAGTTTAGACTATAGCTCATGTGGGGTTGTATAATGACCCGGCTTCTCTGTCTGCGACTTAAGCTTAGGTGCAGGCTACAGGGAGGTTGCTTGTAGATTGCACAAGATTTTCGTACAGTAGGGAAAAAGGGAAAATAATCCCTATGTAATCCCTGTGTAATGTCTTCCCTTATTCCCTACTAAGATCCAGTAAGCATGAGTATTGGGAGGTCCAGCAGTGCGCGGAGAAGGCGCAGGAGGCACCTGCAACGCAGTCGGCCGGTTTCAGGGAGGATGACAGGGTCCCTCAAACCCTTCCTTTCCAAAAATCTTCCGTTTGGAACAGCAATAAATCCTTGGAGCTACCCCTTGACCCTAAACCCTAAACCCTAACAGCTCTTCCATGAAATGCCCCCAACAACAGGTCATCAAGCTCCTCACCACCAGGAAGGAGGTTCAGGTGCAGACCTGGTCCTAATGCTAAGACTCCATAGAATTCTTAAGGTCCTAGCGCTTACGGGAACAGAGTCCCCCCTTAAGTAGATAGAATATGGGGTATATGGGGATCTTATTGTAATATACCCAAAGCCATATTCCATCCCTAAACACTAAACCCTAAATCCTAGAAAATACCCAAAGCCATTTTCTATCTACTTAAGGGGGACTAGATGGGTAAGAACGTAAATCCCGCGAAGCGGAGTGGAGCCATAGGAGCAGGGATGTGCATGTGAGTAGCATTTTAGTTGGGGATATTATGGTACCCAATATAGAGTAAGATTATATCATCCTTTTGGGTATCGTATTTTCTATAAGGAATCTTATCTTACTAGGTTCAACCACCAAACAAACATACCCCTCAACCCATGGGAGCCACATTGCGTTTGCCAGGAGGAGGCCAAGGCAAAACCAGCAGCCAAGGCCCACAGAGATGCCCCTGATCACTCCTTGGGGCGTACCTTAAAAGGGGGATATGGGGGTTCTATAGGGGTACTATAGGGATATATAGGGATGTATAAGGATTAGGGGTTCCTAAAACTAGGGATACCGCTGTGGGGGCCCAAATAATAAGGATTAGAGTATTTTGGGCTCTATATTGGGGTCCCCGTATTTTGAGAAACTAGCATATATCACCATATATACACATGCAGAATGATATGATGAAGCTGTCTGCTATTCCTGCAACTCCGATTTGCCTTGGGGCATTGTGCGCAAAAAGCCTCGCAAGGCTGCGGCACCGGCTAAGAAGACGGAAGCGCCAGACCTGCTGGACATGTCGGCACCAGGCGGGGTCAGTAGACTTCTTGTTGCAGGAGCTCTGATCAGAATGGGTTGTGTGGGGATATGTATGATATAAGGATATAGGGATTTCAGGGGAAACGCGAAGAACATGGAAACTATTGTTTGGAGTTTTTGGAGTAAGCTGCTTCAGACTGTCTTCTTGCCAGTTGCTTCCTCGGCACCTGCGGCGGCGCCAGCACCGGCGCCTTCGCTGGACGTTGATCTACTGGGCGAGCCTGTTGCTCCAGTGGCCCCTTCTGTGGCTCCAGTCCCGTCTCCAGCCCCAGCTCCAGTTCCAGCAGTGCCAGTGGCGGAATCTTCGCCTTTGTCGCCTTCGGCCGCCTTGGCCCTGGCCCTGTCCTCCGCGCCCATGGCAGCCACAGCCACGCTACCGCAGGCCTGGAGTTGATTCGGATGTTTAACGTACATATATTGGGATGCTGCCCCCACTCACTAACAGCTGGATGACACGTAGAATATAACTATATATAGAGCCCTTAACATGACCCCTATTTATAGACTGTTAAGGGCAGGACCCAAGCCATACACCTCCAACTGCAGTTAGTTAGAAGTGCGAACAGGATGCAAGCAGTTTAGCTACCGACCTTGCCGAATGAACTTTGACTTCAGGTTTAGGGTTTAAGGGTTTAGGGTTTAGGGTTGAAGGGTTTAGAGTGTAGGGTTCCACGCAGGACCTGGACCTGCTGGCGCCCAACGCCGCACCAGCTACCACGCCGGCAAAGTGAGGGGACCTAAAAGCCAGTGCGCACTTGGAGGTTCCTTCCTGTATAGTCTCCCTTAAGTAGATAGAACATGGGATAGATGGGGATCTTAGGCTGTGAATCAAAAACACTGGGTTTGTAACAGGCTTGGGCGGCCATTCCGCGACGTAGGTTTGTGACATAATTCCTGGCTTGCGACAAGAACCTTTGCGACAAGGTTCTTGTGTGGGGTATACCAGCGCCAAGCATTCGCGACGAAGGTATGTAACAACAGGCCGCGAACCCCCTAAACCCCAGACCCTAAACCCTAAACTCTCCCAAAGCCTGAGATCATGTTTAACCCTAAACAAGTAGCTTCCATTTTCTTTTCCATTCTCATTATGTAGTCCCAATATATACCCTATCATACTCCCAAAGCCTGAGATCGTGTTTGCCAGCCTACTAGGCCCAATAAACCAGAGAAGTATCAATGTTCGTTTCCATTATTCCTATATAACCCCAACCCTAAACCCTGCAACCTTAAACCCTATACTATAGTAGCTTCCATGTTCTTTTCCATTATCCCTTATATAACCCTTATATATCCCTCGACAATCCCTCAAGCCCGAAACCGCTAATCCTATAAACCCATGTTTCCGTTTCATTTTCAATTGTTCTTTTCCATTTGATTCTCCATCATTGGAGGGGAATATCCCTAAACCCCATTAACCCTATAAACCCTGCGCCCTAAAGCCTAAACCCTAAACCCTAAAAGGTCGTTGCAAAAAAACAACTAAATCCTAAACCCCAAACCCTAAATCCTCAACCCCAAATCCTAAATCCTAAACCCCAAACCCTAAAACTTAAATCCTAAACCCCAAACCCTAAAACGTAAATCCTAAACCCCAAACCCTAAACCTTAAATCCTAAACCCTAAACCCTAAACCCCAAACCCCAAACCCAAACCCCATAAACCCTATAAACCCTAACACTTAAACCCTAAACCCTGAACCCTAAACCCCATAAACCCTATAGCTCCTAGGCCTGACCTTCCCTTCAACCTTGGCACCACGGCGGGCTTCGCCCAGCCCAGCCTACCCAAAGGCTCCTGCAGTGTCCGTGTTCAGGGTGGGATTTAGGGATTTGGATTTAGGGATTCAGGTTTAGGCATTTAGGATTTAGGGATTTAGGATTTAGGGATTAGGGTTTAGGCATTTAGCATTTAGGGATTTAGGATTTAGGGATTCAGGTTCAGGGTTTTGGGAGGTTCAGGGTTTAGGGATTAGGGTTGAGGGATGAGGATTTGAGGGTTTTCGGGGTGAGGGTTCAGGGTTTAGGGCTGAGGCTCGGGGGGTGAGGGTGCAACAGTGCAGAGTTGAGGGTTGAGGGTCTGTAGTGATCAAGGGGCGGGTTGAAAATGTGAACTCTAGTCTAAACTCCTTAAAGCGCCAGATATATAGGGGGACGATTATAGGGGGTTATTTATGGGGGATAGTCGCGTTTAGTCTATAAGTCTACAATCCCCTACGTAGCCCTGGATTTCGCAGTTTCCACTTCATTTTCCATGTTCTTTTCCATTTGATTCTCCATTATTAAGGGGGATACTAGGAGTTTAGACCCTAAACCCTAAACCCTATACTATAAGGGTTATTAAGGGGGATACTAAAAGTTCAGACTATGCGCTCATCTGGCTGTTGGAAGGCTTCCCGGCGCAGATGAGCATCGCAGCCAAGGCAAAGCTCTTGGGGACTGTTTGGTCTCAAGCAATTTAGGGTTTAGGATTTAGGGTTTAGGGTTTAGGGTTGCCCTTAACCCCTAAACCCTAAACCCCCCTAAACTCCCCTAAACCCTAAACCCTGATAGTTTTACTCTTAAGGTTCTTCATTCCACACTCATTAACAGTGGGCTAGTAAATAGAATATGAGTGTTACCCAAAATCATGGGTACCGTTTTGCTGGCCCCCATAATTTTAGGGTCTATATTGGGGTCCCCCTATCTGGGGAAACTACCATATAGTTATATATTGAGTCCTCGAGATGGCTCCAATTATGAACTGTTGATGGGTGGGGGCCAGGACCGAATGCTCGTCCATCATTGATGCAAACGCAAACGGAAAGTATTTGTATGTTGTATGTGCTGTTGTAGTTTCCGTTTTCATTTCCATTACGAAGGGTAACGAAAATGGAAGGTCTTGTATATAGCATGTAGTGGAGCAGCTATGGCGCTAGGGCTTACTATTGTAGAATTGTTGGATGGGGTGTGTGTGTGGGGGGGCGGGGGGGGTTGCCAAAATTTTAGGTTTCTTTGGCCTACATATCAGGGGGGCTCTATGGTAATTAGTAAACCCCAATAGAACCGCAATATAACCCCAACATAACCCCAATATAGCCCCAATATAACCCCCAATATAAACGTAACATAACCCCAATATAAACGTGAGATAACCCCAATATAACCCAATATAACCCTAACATAACCCCAATATAACCCCAATATGACCCCAATAAAACCCTAATATACCCTAGTTGAAATTTCTGGTGACAGGCGACTCCGGCACCCCTGAATCTCAGAGGCCGTTCTTTGCGAAGCGGGCACGGCTACAAGTATGCGTGGTCCCGGATTTACATAGCATATAGCTGTAGATGTCCATATCTAGATATAATATATATATACATACATATCGATGTGTTTATGTATATCTATAAATCTAGACATCTAGATTTATATTTATGTGTGTATGCATACATATATATAGAGGTATACATCCGTATTGTTCTACATGCAGATGTACATTTGCATGTTAGATCTACCTGTCTTTGTACCTGCATCTGTATAAGTATGTGTGTATTGTATCCATTTCAACATGTGCATAGCAGAGCAACAAGTCGGCTCTGACAGGCAAGCAGAGCCCTTACATGCGGACGTCCCAGACTGCCAGCAGTGCATCTTGTGCCGAAGTTCCAGAGAAAAAAGCATGTCAAAGTACGCATCATTGAATCCTGGAGAGAGAAACCCTAAGCCCTAGACAGTTTCCCCAAATAGGATCACCCCAATATAGGTCCGCAAAGACTATAGTCCTTGTTATAGGGACCCCTGTAATTCCTGGGTTGCTGTTAAGAAACTTAAATTAAGTTGCCATAATGGGTATATACAGTAAATAATAGGGTTTCCCCCAATATAGTAACTTAATTTAAGTTCCTTAATAGCAACCCAGTAATTCTTGTAGAACTTCTCAAACTTCTGGGATTCCCCATCTCCTGAGGCCCATGCCCTCCATCCCATCGGCTTTGGACAGTCCGCAGCCGCTGGACTCAGAAGCTCAGGGGACTCTCCCTTAGAGGAATAAGGGGTTTAGGGTTTAGGGTTTTAGGGTTTAGGGTTTTAGTTTGAGATAATATAGGGATGTATAGGGATCATGGATAAGAAAATGGAAGCTACTATTTAGGGTTTAGGGTTTACCTTTAGTTAGCTGGAAATGAAGGAATGGATTCAAGTGGCAATTACAATAATAGGTCATATAGGGACTACTATAAGGATCCATTCCTTCATTCCTAGCTAACCAAGGGTAAGTTCAGGCGTAGGGGAAGTTAAGTGTAATTATGCGTGTCCCTGTGCGCCGTACTCGGGCTCGTACTACAACGGAGGTCTATACGGACCTGCTTCAAGTAGGCAGAGTCCCACATGTCCAGCAATTGGTGAGTGATGTACTGCCTTGCAGCTTGCAATCCGCTGAAGGTTTAGAGTTTAGGGTTTAGGGCTTAGGGTTTAGGGCTTAGGGTTTAGGGTTTAGGGTTTAGGGTTGGAATGCATGAATTTGGGCATGGTAGTTTAACAGCAAACACACTTCCTTTACTGCTGCTCACCTCACCTCCCATGCTATACTGCAGCATTACCCTATTGCATGTCCAGTATATTGGGAAGGCTTACTGTTGGGTTTAGGATTTGGGGTTGATGGTTTGGGGTTATTACCCCAATATACTACAGTAGTTTCGATTTTCTTTTCCATTATCCTAAGATTCCCCCACTAGACTATAGTATACCCTAAACCCTAAACCCGGGTGTGGAGGGGGATTTGCCAGCCAGTCAAATTAAGGCCTGTAGTGGATCAGTTCGCGTTCGTCTCTGACCTCACCGGAATTGGTGGCTCAAACAAAAAGCCGGGATCCCAGAAGGGTTTAGGCTGGGTACTGCCCCTACCCAGTAACAGTCTATATTAGGGGTCCTATTAAGGGCTGTATATAACCATATTACAATTATGATCCAACTGTTACTGAGTGGGGTCAGTATCCAAGGTTTAGGGTTTGGGTTCACAGGGTGCTTTGCCAACAGGAGGATCTCTTGTTGGGCCTACAAATTTGGGATATCCTTCCATGTGAGCTACTAGCCATCCCCGTTAATAACCCTTATAATGGTCCCCCGCATAAGTAGTTCCCCAGATAACCCCCTGTAAGGAGTATAGACTACAGCTCATATGGGTTCTTGTGTGACATTCCCCATTGCTAGCCCGCTGATGGGCACCCATACCAGTCCTGTCCCACCCGAAAACCCCCTAAACCCTAAACCCTCTACCGAAACTCTCATCCATGGCTCCCAAGTTAGGGTGGCCCCGTATGCCGATTCTCTCATGCTGAGTGCACAAAAATGAGGGGGTGCCATGTTTAGGGTTTAGGGTTTAGGATCCGTCTGTCTTGAACAAAGGTTCGGGCATGACTCGAGGCTGTACATCCTGCTTCTCTTACTGGTGGTTAAGGGAATGATTATTCGATTATTCATGTATAATCCCTATATCATCCTGATATAATCCCTTCCTAACATATTCCCTTGTTCCCTACTAATTACCCCTAAACTTTTTTTTATGATTATTTTTATTCCCGTCTTCCGTGCTAACCCCCAGGAAGTTCTTGTCTCAGGTAGCATGCAGCAAGCCTCTCGGTGACGCCTCGGGCCCAGGATGCAATTCCCCCACATCCCTTCGAACATGAGGGGTTTAGGGTTTAGGGTACTGTTCATATTTGGCTTACTAAGGATTTAGGGCTATCTACAGCTGTTACCGGCCTGATGATCATGATTAGTACTACTGTCAGATGGCGGCTATTCTAAATCCTTGAAGTTTTGTTGCTATTCAAGAGGGATCTTCAGGTCTTTGGTAGCTCCAGGCAGCATTTTGGGGTTTGGGGTGGGTGGCCTTTGAGATTTTGGGATTTTCGAGCTTTTTCTGCGGAGTTGCAAGTGTAATGATGTTTTTGAGGTAGGAAAAGAGGTTATGCCCCCGTGACAAGGGACACCCCAGACGTTCTACACCCTCCAATGCACATAATGAAACCACAAGTCAAAGAGATGTTCTGTTTTGATTTAAGGCATGCAGTTGTCGGGCTGCCCGGATCCAATGTTTGCAGCTGGGTAGGTGTTGGTAGGGTGTTGTGCATATCGTGTACATTACATTTCAATGCAAACTAACCAAGCAATATAACGCACATCCCAGTCTGAGCTGTCCTGTATATGAATACATGGAGATAAAACGAACCTGAACCCTCTAAACCCTACACCTCAAAACCCCCGAGCTCCTACATCCCGGAATCCTAAACCCCAAGCCCTAAACCCAAGATGAACAGATCGCAGGAGGCCGCCTGGAGTGGAGCTTTTGCTGAAAGCATTTGCTCAAGTAGAGGTTTGGCTTCGATTCTGCCTAGTAAAAAGGACGCTCTCATAATAGTAATAGCAGTAAGAATAGAAATATGAATACTAATCGTAATACCAGTACTAGCTATTATGATAAGTATTACTCTTATTAGTAATAATGGCAATACTAACAATAATGATACTAGTAGTAACAACAGCAATAGAAGCTGGAAAGCCCTGCGGTCTACGTCTAGCCTGAGGGTTTCAGATGCTTTTGCATGTTTTGGGGTTCACGGTCGGGTTGCGCAAGGTGGATGTATCAAATGCTGGAGCAATCTTTTTTTTGGGGTTTAAGGTCTTTAGGGTTTAGGGTTTAGGGCTCTAGAGTGATGAGGATATCAGGCACCGATGCGAATCTTGAGAGACACGCGCCCCATATTAGACCCATATAGCGATCCAGGCATATGTCCATGAGGAAATTCTTGTGGTCTAGGGAGTCGATAGCTTAAGACCACATGTTTGGCATCTCTTTTGTGGTGGTTTCCACTGCATATTGCACCTCTCTAGATATACACATGTAAATACATATAGGGATAATGGAAAAGAGAACGGAAACTACTATTCAGAGCCTATGTATACGTGTATATATATATATACATTTGATATCTATATATACACATATACTTTTTGATATATATATATACACCTAGGCATAATGGACTGCACATGTGCAGGTTTGTCTGTTGGTGCTGAGGGCGCGAGAGCTGTCCGCAGGGCTCAAGCAGAATGGATGAGACTTGGTCATGTCAGGGCACTTAATATTGTTTACGATTATTGGTATTACAGTCATGATTCTCATTATTATTGCAATTCGTATTTCTGTTACTATTAGTTTTACCATTATTATTACTCCCATTATTATTAGTATTATTATGGAATCTTGACTTCGCACTTGCAGGTAGCAACCCCTCATGCAGCGGTGTGAAGATCAGATACACAGCGGTTTACAACATCAAACTGGCTTCAGAGGACTGATCATGCCAATAGCGCAACTTCGGCAAAAAATCTATGAATGATCCATAGTCTAAACTCCAAAAAGGTGGATTTTAGTGGGGGCTATATAGGTTTCGGGGTTTAGGGTTTGGGACTTCGTGAAAAGACCTCACTGCCCGCGTTCCGATGGAAGCCGGGAAGACCTCTTTCCTGGATGAGGTGATGCATCGTCCTTGGTGTGAAATCCAGGTGAGTAGTATTTTATTTGGGGATACTATGGTACCCAATAGGGATTAGGGTTTAGGGATTAGGGTTTAGGGTTTAGGGATTAGGGTTTAAGGTTTTATTTGGGGATACTATGGT